TCCCAGAATTCTGGGAGTTGAAGTCCACTCATCTTAAAGTGGCCAAGTTTGGACAACACTGATCTAGTCCAAACCTGTATCCAGGATACAGGATAACCAGTAAACCATACTTGAGAGGCGGCTGTTTGTAAAAACCTCCAGGTAGATTCTTTAGCTTTCATTTATTTATATGGGAAGGCTGACCTTTGGCTAAACGTCAGCCTGGATTTCCTAACCATATGAAGTTGGGCAATTGGATAATTTTAGCCTTTGTTTTAATGGTAGGGAACCATATTTAGACAGTAAAATATTCTAAATATTCCATGTTTGCAAATATGGTAAGTCCTGCCCTGCTGGTTCCTTGGTTGGTTAGATTTCCCTTCCAGCTTTTATTCAATCCTTTATCTCCTGTTTTTGCATCTCATAGGCTGTTTATGCTAAAATTCTGACCGAAGGGCAAAACTCTCTTGCTGTCAAGCGAGGAACCAGGTGTGTGAACAGCTTCTGGAAGTTTTTTGGCTCCTGATATTCATCTTTCCCCTGTTAGGAAGTTATGCTTTCCAGCCATACATTCCAGAAACCATGTCTGGAAGCCATTCCCAGAATCCCTTAAGACCCCAGAGCGTTGGCCCCGTGCATGCTTGCGTGGAGAGCGCCAAGATTTGCATGCCCGAAGGAAGAACTCTAGGACTCGGATCGCAGTTAGGGATGGGAGCTTCCCGCGACGTTTGCCTGATCCGAAGCGGCTGAGGTGCCATCTTGGGTAGGTCAGCATCCTTTCTTTCTCTCCCCTCCGCAGGGACCCCAACCAGCCGGTGCCGCAGGACACCAAGTTCATCCACACCAAACCGAACCGCTTTGAGGAGGTGGTGTGGACCAAGTTCAACACGAAAGACAAGCAGTATCTGCACATCGGCCTGAAGCCCCGGGTGCGGGACAACTATCGTGCTAACAAGGTGGCTTTCTGGCTGGAACTGGTGCCCCACCTCCACAACCTTCACGAGCCCCCCTACACGTCGACCACCACCCGGATCCCCCCATACGTCACCCGCTGGCCCAGCACCCGGGTGGGGCCAAGCACAACGCGCCAGTCCATCTCTACCCTTCCCCCGGATGAAGATGACGTCGGTCGGCCCCCACGCTACGTCCCCTTCCCCGGAGACTCGCGGGACTACTCCACCGAGCTCAGCGTGACCGTGGCCGTCGGGGCCTCCCTGCTCTTTTTGAACATCTTGGCTTTCGCTGCCCTCTACTACAAACGGGACAAGCGGCACGAGCTGCGGAGCGGGCGACGCCTCAGCCCCCAGCGGAGTGCAGCCAACGACCTGGTGCACGGCGGGCAGGAGGAAGAAATCATGTCCCTTCAGATCAAGCACTTGGAGCATGACGCGCACGACCTGGAGCCCCTCCGACCGCATGAAATCTTACGCCCTGCCTGCCCTCCCGACTACACCCTGGCTCTCCGCCGGGCGCCTGACGACGTCCCCCTGATGACCCCCAATACCATCACCATGATCCCCAGCACCATCACGGGTATGCAAGCTTTGCACCCCTTCAACACGTTCCCCACTGGACACAACAACACCCTTCCTCACCCTCACTCCACCACCCGTGTATAGTTGTCCTCCTCTCTGTGCCCTAAGCCGCCCGGTGGGAGGGGGTCTCTTTCCAACCTGCTCCGAGAGGGAGGCCCTCTTCCCGCCCCATGGCCCCGACAGGCCTTTTGTACAACACTGTGGGGGAACAGCAGGGTGGGATCGCTAGAGAGGCCCGGGGGTAGCCCGGTGGGGTTGGCAGCCCTTCGCCCAAACCTGGTTGCGCCTTGGAGCTTCCACCATCCTCTGAGACGTGGCGTAGCACGGAAGCCAAGGGAGCATGGGAGGCCGCCATTCTTCCGAGAAGTCAAGAATTGGAGTTAGCGGGCACACTGGTGGGAGAACAGCGTCCTTCCGCTCAGGTGTGGAGGGACGTTGGAGAAGCTGATTATCACTTTGAAGGGTGTTTGGGTGCTCAGGTTGCTGGGGAGGCAGAGGGGGAGAGAGGTTCTGGAGAGGACCATAGCCTTCCCAGCCAGGGAGCTGGCACCATTCCTTGGTCCTCCTGAAAAAGAACCAGGCAAGTTCTAGGCACACAGCAAACACAGGAAGGGCCTCGTTAGCTGTTTTGGGGGCTGGATAAACCAGCTCTAAACCTGGGTATCAAAGCCTAGAGGGAGGAAGGACGAAACCAGCATCTGCCCAACTTTTCTATGCCAACCTCCACAGAATCTCCTTGACCCCGCGCGCGCACAGCACCGGATCACACCAGAGAGCAGCTGGTTGCTCTTCCTCTGTCCAGCTTGGTGGCTTGGCCATCTTTTCTGTGGAGCCAAGAAGCGTGTGGAGCAAGGAAAGGACCACGCCCTTGGTCATCTGCGTTCTTAGTTTTTTTGCTGTTTTTCCCAAGCGGAGCTGGGTAGATAGTGCCCAGGTGAGGCCATCTGAGAGCAGATGCTCAACCTCCCATCTGACCCAGGATCGATGGCAGCAGGACCCGAGGGCACTGTGAGGAAGAGTGGGCCACTGGTTGGCATCCCACTGAATGGGAAAGAGAAGTTGATCTCACTCCTTCCTTCTAGAGTGGAGGGTCCAACGGTCTGAAGAGAGAACGCCATCTCTTTCTCGTGCCCTGGAACAAGCCCCTTTTCCATTAGTTTTATCCGCTGGCCTCCAGGAACCAAGAAGAGAGAGCTCCCCCAGGATCCCCAGTGGGCCACCGGGCCACCACTTCCTGTCTCTGCTGGAAGAGGTAGGGGTGAGAACCCCCGGGGAGGCCAGAAGGGAAGCCAGGGCGGGTTCGCGTGCCAGGTCTCTGCAGGCCTGTAGGCTGCTTCCAGGGAGAAAGATGGAGCCCAACAATGGGGCATTCGCTTTTACCGAAGGGGAGAGTAGCAAGAATTTCTCTTTTGTTGGGTTTAAAAATAGGTTATTGCCAGAGATGGAAATCGGGAAGCTCTTTAAAAAAAAAGGAAACGGGACGCAAACATGCCCAGCATTGCAGATCTTGACCCTCCCGGTCGTCCCCCAGTGACATGTTCTCCAGTCTTTTGAAAAATCTTTTTAGGAAGTTGGAAATGCCAAGCCGTGTCTACATTGGACCTTGGAGGTCCCCTTAGATTTGAGGGAGAGAAAACGTCTTTCCTTGCCAACCTCCTCTTCCTTTCTACTTGCCTGGCCCTCCGGGCACACGTCCCACCTGGCACCCCCACTTCTCTTTTGAAGCTTTCTCCTCTTTCTGAAAATGTTCGAACGGGTGAGGGGCGTCCGGGGCTCAGAGGCTTGGGGAAGGCCTTTGTCGTGGCATCTCTGGATCGGGGCTAGGGGCTCCTTCAGGGAGCAGGAAGACTCGTGAGGGGAAAGGCGCTTCTTCTCTGCCTCCATGCGGCTTTTGGAGAGCATCCTCATTCAGATGAGGAGTTCGGTGGGCATCCGCCGTCCCAGCCCATCGTGGCTCCCCCAGAATCCTTCCTGCACAACACGACAATCTCCCGGGCTGGTCCATTGACTGGGGGGGGCTGAGTACCCAGGCATGGGGGTGCTTGGAAGAGCCCATCGTCTTGGGGGGACCGTGAGGCACCAGGCTTTGGACAAAGCTGAGAGTGGAGAAGCCTCCTGAATCCTGGTGCCATTCCAGAGTTGGGTTCTCCCCGTCCTCACCAGGGGACTGCCCAGAAGGCTCTGGGTGGCGGCGGCTGGATTGAATCCTTGTCCCACGAGCGGGCAGGGACGATCCTTCCCACCTTTGCAGGGCGGGGCCCTTTAAAATCGTGCCTACCCACCCAGGTGCGTTGCTTTCTAGGTGCTCCTGCAGTCCTTGCTGATTCTTGCCACGGGTGCCCTCCCTGTATTGTCATCCAGCGTCTTTCTCCCTCCCCTGGACAGGCACCACCACTGGCCGCGGTCTCAGGTCTGCACTACAGTTTTAAATTGCTTGAATTAAGTTGCAACAACACTGTGGTTAAATCTGCAATGTAGACAAGAAGGCCGTCCCATTGCAGACTCCTCTGTTTCGTCGTCGTCCTCCTCCTCCTCGTACTCAGCCGCCACGTGGGTCTTCTTCTGCCCAGTCCATCTGCTCGTGCCCATGTAGAAACTAGAATGCAGTGAACGATCCTTCATTCATCCCTGATCATGTGTAGCTTGGCTTGCTTCCATGAGCCATCTGCTTTTCTCCTAATCATTTACTCTCTTCTTCTGGTGTGATGCGTGCTTCCTCATTGCCCATGAGAACAAGGGTTCCATAAATCGCTGACAGGGTGGGGAGAGCCTGTGGGGCGCATCAAGGCACCCACCCTTCTAGCCGGCATTCCTTGGGTTCTTCCGTACGACGAGGCATCCTCCAGTCCCACCATGGCAACAGAATCCTATTCCTCCAACATATTCGTGATTTCCACAGAACTGGACTGTCCTGCCTTTAATTTGGGTACATTTTCTCTTAGATCCAGTTAAGACACAGGAAATCCATCCTTTCTTTGCTTTTTTAAAGCACACCATTCTTGAACTCTCTCTGCTGCCTCTCGCCTTGTGCCTCTGCTAATTGTTCTTGGAGAATTTGTTCATCTTTAGTTGTTAATATTCCGATGGAGGGAAGGATAAGAGAAGACAGTGAAGGTTAGGTGAGAGGAAGGGTGGAGAGGAGTTTTGTTCTAAGCCATTTGGGGACTCCATCTCTCTTTGCAATGTTTCAAGTTGGTTTCCTTTTTTTTAAAAAAGAGACTTTATTATGAATAAATATATATCTATATCCATTTTTTTAAAAAAGGAAAACAATTATTTTGTAAAAAAAAATCTAAATAAATAAAAAAGCAAAATTTGTGCCAAACTCAGCGGGGGGGGGGGCATTTTGCTACTGCTTGTTTCAATGATTGGAGGGGTTCCTTTGCTTTGCGATTTAAGTTTGCTAGAGCTTGTGTGAGACATGTCTATGCCAAGGAAAAGAATGCCATTCCGACCTCAGTTGCACTCTGGCAGGCAGACTCCGCCGCCTGACACTCTTGCCAACCGCCGTCACGCCCCCTCCTCTGCACTCGTGCCCCTCCGCTGCCTGTCCCGGAGCGGCCCCCTGCCATGAGCGAGAAGCACATGGTTGCCTTGGGGAGCAACCCAAGATGGGAGGCTTCCAAGAAGCTGGACGGAGCTAAATCCCGAGAGGTCCCCGAAATCAGCTCTGGCTGCCAGACCTCGGTGCTGTTGACCCCGCCTGCTCCCCTCCACCCACGTCCTCCTCGGCTGAGATCGACGGCTGCTCCTTCCTCTTGTCCGAAACTGAGTGTGACAGGCCCCTGGAAGCGCCTTCCCGGATTTGGGGCGAAGAGGTGTGTGCCTGTGGTGTGACGTTCTTCCTCCTGACCTGTCCCCGCGGCCCCGCTGGGGTGCCAAGCCAAGAGAGAGGCTGCCTTGGGCGGGACGCTCCCCAGCTCCCCTCTTGTGCTCCGGAGAAAGGGCGCCGGGGATGGAGAAGGGACGAGGCGCCATCCCCATCAACCCCACTTGTCTGCTGAGGACATTTTCCTTCTGGGCATGATGGATGGGCCCTTCCTCTTATACCCCCCACAAATGGAGAGAATCTATTTTTATGAGACTTAGACCTGGCCAGGAGGGGGGCCAATTTTGGAAAACAACCTCCTGCCCCGGCTTCAACGGGTCCCCCTTGTGCCCCGAACAGAGCCACCCCCCCCCCCGACCCCCCCCCCCCCCC